TGTGTTATATTTTTATTTATGTTATTTGTCTTACACCAGAATTTTTGAAATTGTCATTCTTCATTTATCTGTTATATACATATATACCTGATCCGTTTTGGTTATACTGTCCTCTTGTCATTCACAACATACTTGTGTCATTTTTAGCATTGATAATACTAGGTTAATCATGTTATGCCATCGACCTGATGTCTTCTACAGTTATTGGCCCAGTATTATGAGTAGAAACTTTAGATTTAGGGGTGCAAGTTAGATTTAGGGGCGCAAGTTAGGTCAGGTTTGGTGGATTGAGGTGAATTCTAACCCAACCCGAGTTGTTTAACCCCAACCCTAATCTTAATCTAACCTTGAATTTCTAGGACGGGTTGGACTAGCTGATCCCAAGTATGGATTAACTGAATGCCCCATGCTGTTGAGTGGGCTTTGGAACTGATTATGTCTTCTTTGTTCCCTACCCTAATAACACCATTGTTTCTCCCATCATAGGCCTCTCTCTCTCTCTCTCTTGTAGTCTTCATTGTCCTCTTCCACCATGAACCACTGGTCACCGTCAACCTCTAGCATCATAGCATCATAGGCCTCTCTCTCTCTCTCTTGTAGTCTTCATTGTCCTCTTCCACCATGAACCAATTAGTCTAAGCCGTTGCTGCAAATCCAGCCAGCAACCATCATCTCTCTCTCTCTCTGTATCTTTAATCATTTGGTCTTCTGCCATGAACCACTAACAGGGAGAAATTGGAGAGAAGGTGTTCATTGTCCGATGCCTCAACATGTTCTTTGAAATGCAGGTTCCTCTTTTTCTTAGTTTGCCCTTTTTCGAATTTGTATAGTACATTTCCTTTCTATTCTCTATTACAGTTAATTATTTTTGACAGATAACTTAATCCTAAAGCCTTTATTTATTTATTTATTTTGCTTTCTGTTAAATGTTGAGAAAAGAGGAAACAAGAATACATGCTCTTTTGGGAATGTTGCAGAGAGAGAGAGAGCTGCTAGTGGTGGTGAAAGTTGACGATGATGGTGGTGGCTATTGACGATAACCAGTGTGAGGGGGGTAGAGTGTGGACGTAGAAGAGGAAGGGAAAGGTGGAAAAATGAATATTAAACAAGGTGTTGTTTGGATAGATTTCTATTTTTGTATTTTTAAAAATACCAAAGTATATGCAAAGTATATAAATGCTTTTACTTTAGTATTTTTGCTTTAAAAACCAGTTGAGGAAAAAAAAATTAAAAGTATGTTTTCCAAATCAAAAGCACTAGTTTTTATTTGGTAAAAGCATGTCTGTCTGTACTTCCGATGATGGTTTTCGGTGGTTTTGTGGTCTAATAACAGCAACAACGATCTGACTATAGCAGCAGAAAGCAGAAATAGGATCGAGAGTTTTATTGAAGGGTGGTCACATGTGACCATTATTTACAAAAACATAAGCACTATTTCACCAAAAGCAAGAATTATAAAAAACTGACTTCGTGTTTTAACGTTTTTCATACTTTTAAAAATATAAAAACATAAAGTATAAAATATATAATACAAACGTTATATCATATTTTTCATACTTTTACACTCTCAATAGTACAAAAAGTAACTTACAAAAGTCTACCCAAACAAGGCCTTTTCAAACCATTCCATCGGTATCTTGAAAAGGGAGTCGCACTTGGTGAATCCATAGCAGCTTGGGGCGTTCAGCTAATCCGTATTGTCTGATTTCTGTACTTCATTTTCTATCAAATGTTTATTTCTTGGGCTGAAAGCCCATGCCTCTATCATTATTTTGAAATTTTTAAATGTTGTCAAATGTTGTTTTCGCGGGCTGAAACTCCATTCCTCATCATTATTTTGAAAATTCTTAAATGCTATAGAATGTTTGTTTCTTAGGCTCAATGTCCATGCCTCATTATTATTTTGAGAATTATTAAATGTTGGATGAGATGCCTTTCTAATATAAGCATCCATCGTCAAAAGCAGAAGCACATGTGATTCGAAGTAAAAACATTTGCTTCATTGATCTTTCTGTACATTCACGCTCTGATGCTCATTGATGACAGATGCTACTATTCCACAAGCAAACTGGGATTCATCTGGTGTTCGGCTTCAACTTAAGCAAGATATTGGTGAATATGTTACTGCACTCCGTCAAATCAAACTCGATGAGTGTACTAAGATATACAAGGTATGAGAAAATTAATCCTCGTCTAATATTTCTCCAATCCCGTTATCAAGAAACTGTTCAATTTAAAGGTTTAAGTTATTAGTGAGGTCTTTCAATAGGTTTTTATTCTCCACTATGCCTTCTCATGCGAAAGTTTATCGGGTTTAAAGTATTGACAAGCACAATTCCACACATATCTTATGTTAAAATCCAATTAAATATAATGGAGGACACGAAAATTGAACACTAGACCATTTGATCAAAGAGAGTAATAAGATTTCAAGAAACCGTTGAACCAAAAAGCTTTGAGAACAAAATAGAATCTCACCTAACAACTTAAGCTTTTTACGTTAAAGAATTTGAAGCTTAGTTAATATGGTTTTAAGCTTTTATAATTCATATTTGGACATATGTCACCATAAGCAACAGCTAGAGATAACCAAACATGCTATCACCGGCTTGTAGAAACAACTAAAAGAGGCATTAACGGTACCTGTGAAAGATTCTCTGCATGAAGCAGACATGAACACCTGGCCAACAATAAAATGGTATCTTCAACGTGAGACCATGTCAGCTGTCAATGGGCTATCTAGGGAACTCAATGGCTTCGACATTGATGATAAAAGGAAGGATGAAATGCTTGAACGCCTAAAAGACTATGCAAGAGATATGGTTGAAAAGATGGCAAAAGAGGAAGCAAATGGAGTCCTGAAACACATGCATGACAGGTAGAAATTCCCTCCCTCCCTGCATAACTTTTGGGCTATATTATTCCTGATTTTCACCTAACATCACTAAATTTGACAGGTTTCTAATGCTTTTTACCTATGAGTCTAAGAATGTGCCAAGGATTTTGACTGAGAATGATGACGTCAAAGCAATTGCAGAAGGTTCCCGCAAACAAGTACGAAACAACTCAATGTCAATTTCTCAATCTTCTCTTCTATATATATATATATACTGGTTTCCAAATATCTGAGAACTTTCATTCTTTCCAGTGTCTTAAACTACTGGCTGTTATGGCTGCCATGCGTTTGGGTGACACTGTTGATAATATCGAAGCAACTCTCTACCTCACTCTGATGAATGCCAATGGTAAGGATGATAGTAGCACGAGAACCACATCATCAGATCCGCTGGACAAAAGCACATGGGAAGAGGTAAATAATGACAAGGATTTGAATTTTCTAATGCCTCTCTGTTTAATTGTCACTTAGCAATTAGCATGGCGTTTGATAATAGCTGATGTGTTTGTATTGCAAGAGTTAGTACTATGTCTATTTGTGAATAAGTTCTTGAGAAGGTTGCAAACTCTGAACGGCTGAAAGCGAAGTTGGTTTGGTTGCCATACCCTAGGGTAAAAGAGCAATAAGTCATTTAGTGGGTACTGGGTAGTGTATGCAAAATAAGACCACTTTTATGAGTAAATTTTATATAAAAAATTAATACTTTTTTATGGTTAATATTAATCTTGGAAATCACAAACCAATACAAGGAAAAATATACAAGTTCAATTGTGATAAGGAATTTTGATTGGGAAAACTTTTGTTGTCGAGTGGAGGAAGGAATCCCTACCTGCTCTATTGAATCAAATCTTGAAAACCCTACCTGCTCTGCTTTTCTGTTTTTCTGGTCTCACGTAGGCAAGTTTCCTATTTGATCAGATAGTGAACCTTTTTCCTTGGCATGTATATACTAGTGTAGCTATATGCTTGTGAATTAACTTGTAGTCTACATATTCTCAGCCCTGGTCCATGCAAGCAAGGTCAGTCTTAGCTTTTCAAACTAAAATCCATTGGGTTTGAAGTGTGAACAAGCACAAGTCCATTCATACCTTGTGCTAAAGTTTATTTTATTATAATGGGGGTAACAAGGATCCAACACTAGACCATTTGGTCAAAATGACTTCGATACAATCTTAAAAAACCATTCAACCTAAAAGCTTTAATTGTTAGGTGAGGTCCTTGAATAGGTTGATATTCTCTAACATATTTTAGGTGTTAGAATTGCCTAATTACTATTGTTGGTAATCATGTGGGAATAAAGGATCGCCCTATTGATTATCAGCAAGTAATCCGGACTGATCATGTCCATGTCTCTCTCAAATATACATGTTCTTGATTATGTGGTGTCAAGTCACCCTGGTGACGAGGGGTGACTGGAGACATTTCTATTTGGAGAAGCTTCAATTCCTTGTAATATTAGTTGTGTGGCAATGTTAGTATGTTTATTATAATTGGTTGATACATCTTAACAGGATCCTACAATGAAAACTTTGATTGCTCCTTCCCAATGTAAAACACTTTGGAATAAATTCCAAACGGATACAGAGCACATTGTTAATCATGCCAATTCTGTCATTCAAGCCAAGCTCATGGCCAAGAAGGCCCAAGAAGAGGCTGATGCTGCTAATAAGAAGGCTAACCAAATGGCTGAGCAGGCACGCAGAGAGGTTATTGCTCTCAAAAAAGAAGCCGAGGAAGCTATAAAAAAGGCTTTTGAAGATGCCAAGATTGCTAAAGCCGACGCTGAACAGGCAAAGAAGGCGGCAACTGTTGCTGAGAGAGCCTACAATGTAAGTTTAATATACTTTACCTATTTCTCAATTATTCTACAATATATATATATATTTTTTTTTTGTTGTCAAGAATTGAATTTTAGAGTTATGATATTTTTTTGGAAGGCCCAGTTTAGAAAGAGTACAAATACAAATATAGGTTTAGAAATACAAAATATATAAAAAAGCTTTGCACTGCACATATTTATATTTACAGTCCTTCCAAACTGAGCCTAAAGGAAAAAATTTCAAAAGGAAAATGAATTACAGAACGATCAGCCCCACGCAAAAAGAAGCTGATATCAACATGTAAAAGCATCCAAATATCAAACTAGCCCCAACAAAATAAAACTCAAAACAAGACACCCACAAAACCAACCATGCCCCAACCAATGCCAAAAATTGGATACCAGACTAGGGACACTTTTGATATTTTACAATTTTTTTCTAGTGCCCAATACTACGGTTTGATTGTCTATTTATAGTTTGTTTATGTTTATAATTTCAAATTCATTGCATAAATAGGATTAGAGTTATTAAATTGGAATAGGATATGATAGCTTTGAGTCCTAATAAGATTATTAAATCTAACAGTTTGACTCTTAGGATTATTATGAGTTTAGAGTCAAAAAATATATATGGACATTTTACGCACCCTCTAAGTGATTTCAAGTATTTTTTCTCTTTTTCTATTCCTATTTTCTTTCTTATTCCTTCAAGAAGCCATTACAATTGATGGAGGGTGATTTGGCCCGACCTCGCAGCACGGGTACACGTGGGCGTGACCTTGCTCAAACAGTGACTCAGCATGACAGTGCAATGAGCGTGAACACAACTCGGAGGGAAAGTCTCACCGAGTACAGCTCGGCAACTCGGCAGGTAAACTACTCACCGGGAGCTGCCTTACCTGCACCTCCTCCCGGGGTTAAGGCACTTCGGGACGTCCCGAGTTCGGGACGTCCTGACCTCTCTTAAGGACTGAGCTCCCCCCAATGGACCTCGGACCACTCCCAGGCAAGAACACACCGATCCATCTCTTGACACCCCGAGACATGGACACCTCGAGTCAGCCAGCTCAGCATAACCTGCTATAGGCAACTCGTCACTCAAGAGACAGCCCAGCTCAAGGTGATCCGCGGAAGGGCAGTTCGGTATACCGTAGGAAAGCTTCCTGATCGACTACCGTACCCGAAAAATCTGTGGATAGCAGATATCTCCCTCGTCAGATAGTGTCGCGCCTGTCACCTTCAGAAAGGTGTCTCGCGCTTGACAAGCACGTACCCTGTAGCGACGGCCCCGCACGTGCCACCTCAGCCTTGCCTGTAGCGGCTGTGGCAGGCTGACAGTGGCGGTTATACCTGCCCTGTCAGAAGTCAAAGGGCCTGAAGTAATGGGATTCGGTTATAAGGGGATCATTCTCAAGGAACAAGGTGTCTTCGAATCACTTGCGCAACCTTCACTCTTAGCCTTTCGTTTCCCTTCTCTTCTTGCACACAGTATTGACTTAATCATCGGAGCGTTTCATCCGGGAAACCCCCCGGGAGTTCTTCCTTTTTCCTCTCGTCTCAGGTACCTCTCAGGAGCCACGCGAGTGCCAGCTAGGAGTGACCGGATCACGCAACATCATTTGGCGCCGTTTGTGGGAAATGCTTCAAAAGGCCTTTCTCCCTAAACTTTTGCAGTTATTTTCTTCCTTGAAAAAATCCAACACTCATGGCTTCCTCTAGAAACGTCGGACGAAGCACGGAAATGGATAACTCCAGGGAACAACCCCAGCTCCCTACTGTCTGTATCGGACAGTTCACTGTCCCCCTGTCGGCGGATGGAATCCCCAGCTTAAATATGCCTCTTACAGTGGCACCTGTCGTCGCCCCACTCCCTGCTACAGTCGGAGGGACGTTCACCGAACCTTCGGTCGTGCCCCCGACGGCCATTCCGAATCAAGTGGAGGACTTGATGCAGTGCATGCGGGCCATGCAGGCCCAAATGCAACAGTTTCAGCAACTTCAGCTCTATCAACAGCATATGCTGCACCAGGTCTCCTAGTACCAGTATCAATAGTAGTTTCCCCAGTTGCCTTAGCCTCAGCTTCAGCAATCACAGCTTCCCCCTCGGCACCCAGTCTCGCAGTGAGCTGGGTCTCGCCGACAGGAGGAGCACCCGCCTC